AGTTTATTATTCTCGAAGTACATTGTAAATAAATAACATTCTCGTTCTAACCTTAAAGGTATCAGGGGCAGACTCCGAAACTCCGGAAAGACAGAATGTGATCGGAAGTCACATGATCTGTCATTTTTTTTCTGTTTCACTTTGTTACTAAGAAAACTTGAGGTGATGTTATCATTAATGTCACGTTACTGTAATTTTTTCTGCAGATCAATGATCACGTGAATCCGCTGTAAAATACTGTAACGCGCGTTCGCGTAATCGCGAAAGTCGAATTTGTGAAATTTGCAATGTCTCTGCCATCCGAAATTCTCAGTGCTCTGCGTTTCCCTAGTGAGTCTTTGTTTTTTGCAGGACCTTTATAGTTATGTCTCAGTCCTATTCCGTGATGTTAACGATCTCTCTAAAGGCTACTGGAACAGAGATCCCTCGCGATGGGGAGGTCTCTGTGACTGGGACATGTTTTTCATACAACAAATACCAGAGGCAACCAAGCAGAACGTGCACAATTCGCTTGCTGCCGAACTAAAAGTTCTTATGAGATTGCCGCCCTCGAATCCTTGTCACCAACATGCAGTTCTTATGATGACATCTCTTAAGGTAAAATTTCTACGCCAGAAATGCCAACAATTGTCAGTATCCCTGCGGCCGGGTGCCGAGTAGCGTCGTTACAGATGGCAATCCGTGTGTTTGCTGGAAGTGGGCACTGTGACAATTGTATTATGTAAGGCACAAACCATACCCCTGCGGCCGGGTGCCGAGTAGCGTCGTTACAGATGGCAATCCGTGTGTTTGCTGGAAGTGGGGGAAGTGCTGAATGCACGATGGTTTGGCCGAGTTGTAACTGGGTGATGTCCTGATATTTGCCACATTGGAAAGTTTTTTAACAACATTTCCCTAATGAGGATTGTCATAAAAACGATTTGAATGTCAATTTGTGGTCCAAGCGTATGAAAGAGTTGGCTGAACTAACCGTTGCTAATCGAGTGGATACGGCAAGTTGGGTCAATTGCTTTGATCACTTGTAGGCTGTTGTGCTAATTCTCTTCTGATTCTCTGTGAAATATAGTTCAGTGTAGAAAGTGCGGCATTTACAACGGGAGCCACGGTTTTGAAGGATCATTTTGAGAGGAAGACAGCTGAGTAAGAAGTGTTTTTTGGGTATTTATGTCTTGAATTGATCATTGAATATTTTTCTTTGAACAGCTTGTTGAGAAACAATTTAACAAGTGGTCTGGTGATGTCTCAAGAAACTGTATCTGAGGGAATGCCAGACGAAATTAATGAGACACCAGTAATGAAGCATTACAAGCAGGCACAGTTGGCAGATCCTGGTAATGTCAACTTTAGCGTGAGTACTATACTGAGAATGAGATGAGAGGTGGCACTTTTCCCAGTCATATTGACAGACCCAGTTTATGCTAAACAGATACCGACAACATTCACAAGCACAGGCACAAAATGATGAATGAGGATTTGTCCAACCTGGTAATTCCCTCCCCGATAATTTAATGTCATTGATCTGAATAAAGATATTTATATATCATATTTTCATTAGCATTGCAATGACAATAACCCCTTCTTGGTTGATGGAACTGACAATGATCATGAGGTAGGCTCAACATAATGGATGTCTTTGATGACATGATATCAAATAAATCTTTCTGAAACATGCTCTTTCTGCCACTTTGCTCCAGTACCAGTGCCTCATTGAACTGGCTATAGACGAATATCTGGATAACGAGGATACATCTAAGTTTCAAGACTCTGGCAATGTGCTTGAACCATATGATAATAGTCATGAGAATAGCATGGACGTATATCCAAAAGATGACAGCCCTCCTGATGTCTGGATGCTGCCTTCTGGCAAGCAGGCAGACAAGATTGTAAAAGTTCTTCCCAGAAATGCACATGATTATCAGTGAGTAAGCCAATATCATATTTTCCAACAGGTTTTCTTTACTCATTAAGAATTCTCAGCCCAAGCCAGTTCAACATCATTCGTCTTGGGGTTCGTGTTCGACGCCCCTCGTCAATATTACAAGAGGATTGGGAATATTTGCAGAACTCATTCGAGTTCACACGTGAGCTGACATCTCCAAAGTCAGACGAAATTTTGGAGCTGCTCGCAGAATCAGTAAGCATTCTAATAATGCTGCAATAATGTAATGATATTGCTGTTATTTCAATCTTTAAAATTGATAATGATACATTTGCTGTTCAAGGATTCAGCACACAACCTGGAGCAGGCCTTAAAGGTCTTACAGATTGCAACAAGTGACAGACAAGCAATGTTCTTCAGGCGAACACTGGAGATGTTGTAAGTAGTCAATCTGTATTACAATGTCATTGATGGAAATTAAACTTTGGCAGAAATTACATACATATATGTTTTTTTAATCATACAATTAGTCTGGAGATTGTGTTCCTTGCTCCAAAGTCAGCCCTTCGAAGCAGCCGTACGCAGGAGTCAACATTGGGGTCATTAATGCTCCATCCATTGTTGGATCTTTTGACGCGGGAAGCCTCCACTGTTGAATATCATCCGTAAGCATTTTTGGCAATGCAAATGTGACTTTCACTCCTCACAATGACATACCTTTTCACATCAATCCATAGTGGCGAAATCCATTCAGCGGCGAGTGCATCGCAACGAGTGTTACGACGACGTCCATTGGTCGAGGATGACCGGCCACTGGGCCAAAAGGTTGATGGATTATTTGTTATCGATGATACTGAGGTGGGGCTTGTGGAGATGACAGGGGGACCCACTGTCCGGGATCTACCCCGCTACATCAAAGATCATGTGCGTGGTTACTGGGGAATGAGAGACCTCCTCAATGGCATTGCTGCTGATACGAAATATTGCCAGGGGAGCTTTGCAGTGATGCGCCGGCTTCGTGTATACTTTATCCAGACACATGGTAAGATCATAGAATAGAATTTTACCAGTTTTATGTGTACTGATTTTGTTTGTGATCAGGCTTAGATATTGAGACCTGGGCAATGGACTGCCCAGTCTCAGAACTCTTCAGAATGTATTTCGTTGGATGTGGCAAGCTTCCATTACATTGGAACTACAAGAATGAGTTGATCACTTTGCTACCGCTTTTATGGGACTTGAAGGTGGTGTATTAACAATTTGTACATTGTTATGGGTTCTTCCTGCCTGTTGATCTAGTTCTTATTTCTTAGAACGGATTAGAAAAAACAGGAAATAGCCTTGAGTTATTGAAGCTGACTTCAGGTCAAGTTCTTGCCAAGTCTCGTAGTCGGAAACGTCATCAAACGAACGATGCATTGAACACATATTTTCATACACAACAGCAGAAATCACCGATGCTGGCTGATACTAAAAGGGACACAAAAAAAGCTAGAACGCTTAAACCACATGAAGATTATCCTGAGAAGTAATCAATTGAATCATATCATGTTATTGACTTTCAGGAAATAAACAAGTTTATGTAGGAGAACGATCATTTTCAGATAATTACATAATAAAGTTCATCAACTACATTAGTGTCTTCTCAGTCTTTTGAATCATGTGATTAAATATTCACTTTGTCTGGTTTTGTTGCAGTCTGCCTCATATAATACTTGATAATTTTTTAATTTAATTAATTATATTATATATTAAAAATTTATTATTCATATAATTTTTGCAAATTTCTAAATATTATTTGTCTAAAGCTAACTTATTACTATTTTTTATACTTAAAAATAGATAATATTTTTTTTATTTTTTCTAATAGATACAAAAACTAATAACAAAAATATTTATATAATTATATTTATTATTAAATAAAGTAATTCTAATTTTATATATATATATTAATTTAAAATTAGTAATATTTTACATATCAAATTAATATTTTAAATATTTATATTAATTATTATATTTTTAATTTTAATATATCTTCTTTCTTATATATAATAAAATTAATACTTTAAATAATTAAAATAAATAAAATCTTTTAATATTAAATTAATTAATTATTTTTTAAGCTTATACATTTTTATAAAAAAAATAATAAGTTAATCTATTTAATAATTTATAATCAGATATAAGATTAATTTTATAATTAATAATTTTTTTTAATAATAATTTTTATAATAAGATTTTTTTTTATAATTTTTTTAGTTTCTTTCTTTCTTTTTTAGTAATTATATTAAAATAAATAATAAATAATTCTGTATTAACTAATAAATTTATAATTTACTATTAAAATATATAAATTAAATTATAATTAAATCTAGTTTAATTTTAATATTAATTTTAATTTTAACTTATAATTAAAGATAATAATATTATTTCATTAATTTATAATTAAATTAATATAAAATAATCATGATTTATTAAGAATTAAGTGATATTTTTATAATTTTAAAACTTAAATATTTATCTTATATATATATATAATAAATATTTAATTTTAATTTATAAATTTTTATCTATTTAATTTATTAATTTTTATCTAATTTTAATTTATTAATTTTTATTATTATAATTATAATTAATTTCTTTTTATTTACTAGTCCTCTAAATTTTAACTTTATTTTTTTATATAAAATTTTTATAATAAAAATTTTAAATATATTATTATTAATATATAAATAAATTTTTTATTTATTTAATTATTAAATATAAATAATCTTTCATAATTATTTTTTAAATAAGTAAATTTAATTTTTTTATATTAATATAATATTTTTTCTTGAATTTTTTTTAATATTTAATATTTAATTTTGAATTTTATATAATAATTCTTTATAAAATATATAAATTTATTATTTTTTTAAAAGAATTTTTATATAATTTTTAGTTTAATTTAATTTTATTAATTATTTTAGTAATTTTTTTTTCTTGATATTAATATAAATAATTATTATTATACTTATTTTAAATATTTACTAATTAGTTTTATTTATATATATAATTAGATTTCTTTATAATTATATCTCTTTATAATTATCTTTTTTATAGTTATCTTTTTTAAATTTTTAAATTATTAATTAACTATAATAAAAAAATTTCTCTATAATTATATTTTTCTTTATTATTTAATTTTACTTTTTTAAATATAATAATTATAAGGAGATTTGATTATAATTATATTATAATTAATAATTAATTTTTAAGTATTTTCTAGATTTTTTTAATAATTAATAATAATTTTTATCTTTATAATAAATTTTAAATTATTAATAAAATAAGTAACTTAATTTAAATTATTTATATTTTTAATTTATTTAATAATTATATTTTTAAATTTAATTTTATAATCTTATAATAATAATCAAAAGTAATGACTCAGAAGCTAAATTTATTAATAAAATATAATGAAAATTAAAATTTTCTCTCTATATTAA